AGATCCTCATCTTTTAAGAGCGTTTTGAAAACCTTGTAAGGCTTGATTTGGTTCCTGTGAACCCATTTAACCACTGGTTCCTTTTTACCTCTGTTGATTTTGATTTGATAGACGATTGAAGACAACTTGTCTATTATTTTGTGGGGTCCAGTCCATTTTGGCATTAATTTGCGAGCGAGAGCTCCTGTTTTGGACTCTGGGTTTCCCGAGGTAACAGCATAGTTGTAGTACCAGACTTTGTCTCCCACCTGTAGTTCTTCATGAGAGGCTTTTTGGTCATAGTACGCTTTGCGTCCTTCAGCGGTTTTTTGAAGATTTTTCTGAGCAAAAGCGAAAGTATTTTTCGGATGTTGTTCTAAATCTTTCATGTACTGTTGCGTGGTGTAGGCTGTTGCCATTGTGGTGTCACCAGACTGGTACAAGAGATGTAAAGGAAGTGTCATCTGTCGACCTGTCATCATCTCAAAAGGAGAGACGCCTGTGGATGCATGTGGAGTGGCCCTGATGGCCATGAGGACCAGGGGAAGTTTTATGTCCCAGTCCTTGTGATTTGCAGCAACATATTTCTTTAAAATACTTACCACAGTTCTGTTTGCTCGTTCAACCTGGCCTGATGCCTGTGGATGGTAGCCAATATGGAAGTTGGCTTTAACACCTAGCGTCTTCCACAGCTCTTGCATCACTTCGGCTGTACATTCGGCTGTACATTAGTGGCTCTGGCATGCCAGAGCCACTAATGCACCCCAATACCATCAGAGAAGCAGGCTTTTGATTTGTGTCTGTGCTTTCCAAAACAACAATTCAAATTTTGACTCTGAGCTCAGAGATTTACTTCTGAGAGACTCCGCCTCTTGCTGACACGCTGTCGATTAACTGAATCAGTTAAAAAAAAGCTGCACCAGCATTTCCCCTGGAACAGCTTTTTTCAGACGTGTCGCTGCTCGGCTTTGAAAGATAAAGAAGCCACACAGAACACGTCGGCTACAGTGAGCTGGCTGTAGCAGCTGCTGCTGCTGCGTCGTTATCTCCCTCCTGTTTATAACATTTAATAACTTTTGTAGAAGTATCTGGTTTCACTTCCATCAGATCACACATAAATCACTTTGATGTCATTCCAACAGTTCATTTAGACCCATGTAGGCTCCATTTAGGAAAATAGTTTCATTTTAGTTTATTGACAATAAACGTGTTCAGTAATGGGACCTGTTGCAGTGAAGTGTCTGATGTTCTGCAGGTATCAGGAGGCGATTTTTACACAAGCAGGATGGTTTGATAAGAAGCTAATGAACCTGTTAGTAAATTTATACATTGAGTTTAATTTACTCAGGGATGTGATTTTTATTAACTTAAATGTTTTTAAAGTTAATTGTATGAAAGACATTTGTTGATACAGATTGTTGAAATAATATATATTTGCCACATATTTAAGGTGTCTGTTCAGAGTGCAGTTTAAACTGTTGAACATGATATAGTTTTGTTTTCACTGTGACTCCTGCTTTGAGTGTAAAGTCTGTTTTTTTACTTTGATTTTTGTTTTGTTCCTGAAATGAGTTTATTTGTAATAAAGCACTGAGTAAGTTCAGTTTAGTTCCACTGAGACACAAAACAAACATGTTTCATGTTGTTCTGAGTTATTGAAATAACTTAGCACGAATGTTATCAAGATCTGTGATAAAGTTCATTTTCCTGCGCTTGCAACTTCTTTTGTAACCGCTGAAACCATGCGTCCTGTTTGTGCAGTTAGTTTTAAAAAAATCAAAAAAGCACATATGTTATAACACAGTATAAAAGTGTGTTACTAACACACAGGCACAAAGGATCAGTCCCATTATTTCATCTGCGTTCATGAACAACACAGATCTGATCTGAGGCAGAGTTCAGAACTTTAGGAGTTAAACTATGTGAGTCTGTCAGGTTTGTCTACATTTAAAATAAGTTATTTGATCATCTGTGTTATTTTAGTTTCAGCACTTGAATAAAAAACACATTTTATAAATTAATCATCAGTTACAAAAACAGGAAGAAAAATTTGTGAAAAACAGAGAAAATCCTAAATTAAGTTTGTAAGATTTTCAAAAAGTCTCAAAAATGACTGAAAATAACAAGTGAAGGAAAATATGAAGGAATCCATCCATCATCCATCATCCATCCATCCATCATCCATCCATCCATCCATCCATCCATCCATCCATCCATCATCCATACATCCATCCATCATCCATACATCCATCCATCATCCATCCATCATCCATCCATCCATCCATCCATCATCCATACATCCATCCATCATCCATACATCCATCCATCCATCCATCATCCATCATCCATCCATCCATCCATCCATCATCCATCCATCCATCCATCCATCCATCATCCATACATCATCCATCCATCCATCCATCCATCATCCATCCATCCATCCATCCATCCATCATCCATCCATCATCCATCCATCCATCCATCATCCATCCATCCATCCATCATCCATCCATCATCCATCCATCCATCCATCCATCCATCATCCATCCATCCATCCATCATTCTGATGTAAACTCTACATTTC